TGTTAATAAATTTACGGTACTAATAATAATAATTTTTACATTTAATAACGTTTTACATTAGTTTACGTACGTAAAATATATTTCTGCAAGAAGTGCGTAAATATTATTTGTGCATTTATATAATATTTGTGCGTTAAATTTAAATTATAAATGCGTAAATATTAGGACAAAGTATTTATATTTATACTCGTGTATAAATAATGGCCTGTATAAATATAAATAATAGGCCATGGGCCTGTGATTATAATAAATTTGTGTGTATTAATTTTATTTATTCATAAAATATATTTGTGCATAGAAATTAAATTACAATTGCAGATATATTAGGACAAAATATTTATATATTTATCGGAGTGTCATGACGTGTCGTGCATAAAAATTAAATTATTAGTGCGTAAACTATTGGAACAAAGTATTTATATTAATTTATTATTTGAGTCCAAAATATTATCGTGCGTAAAAATTAAATTATAAGTGCCTAAATATTTGGGCAAACTATTTATATTTATATCTGTGTACTGACGGGTCCCTGGTCCGCAGGCGTCGCGCTTCGTCATCCTGGAGAAGACCGCCGTGATGCTGAAGGCCACCGAGAAGGCGGAGAAACTGGGACGCCTTTACGAGAGAACCAAGGCGCAGGCCGGTACGTGGGGTGTAGAGGGGTGACTTTACAGGCCGGTACGTGGGGTGTAGAGGGACGCCTTTACGAGAGAACCAATGCGCAGGCCGGTATGTGGGGTGTAGAGGGACGCCTTTACGAGAGAACCAAGGCGNCAGATGTGACCCTGTCTCTTATACACATCTAGATGTGTATAAGAGACAGGTGTAGAGGGGTGAGTTTGAAGTGATTGGGGGAGGGTGGTTGGGGGTGTGGGAGTTTTAGGTGGAGGGAAGGGGGTTTGTGTGGTTGTTGAGTAGGATGGGTGACTGGGTACGAGTGCTGATGAGTGGGAGTGATTTGGAGTGGGGTGTGTGTAAGGGTAAATAGGACTGGGTAAGTGGGTGAACTCTGGGGTAGGTCCTACGTGAATGCAGGTTATTCTCATCCGTGGCTTTCTTTTCTCCCACCAAACCTTAACGATGGGTCAAATAATTGCTTGGAATTTGGACAACATTTCCAGCTATATTTTTGTGTGTAAACTACCTAGTGTTCTGAAGCGCCTGTTCAGCTCCCTGATGAAGGGATTTTATTTAAATTCATATCATGAAATTAATGAAATATGCGACTGATTCTTCTGGGGGATTTGCATTGTTATTCCTGCCCTATTTGCCTTGTATACTGGCCATAGCATTATTGTTTACTATCCTAATGGATTATTGAAGCATTCTAGTGGATTATCAACAAATATGTTATGTATTAATGATTATTAAATTTCACCAGACGCGGACAAAGCTAACGGCCTGACGGACAGCCCTGCCATCCGTAAGCTAGCCACCATCCCCTTCATGGACGTTGTCCTCCCCGTCATCCTCCGCAGCCTGGGCATCAAGCCCAAGAAGAACCCGGAGGACAACCTCGTTTATTTGTCCATGTTCGATGACCACGACCGCCTCCTGAAGGAGGCCAAGGAGAAGTGCAGTAAGATGCCCTCGACCTCCGTGACCAGACCTGAGTGTGTGGCCACCTGCAGCGCCCTCGCCCCCTACAGGTCCGCGTGTCTGGCGCCCTCTGACACTCAGGACGAGGGCCCCAGCAAGGGTCCTGACCAAGAAGATGATGGTGAAGGTAGTGATGAACTAGATGAAGATAGTGATGAACTGGATGAAGAAGATTATCTGGATGATGAACAGGACGAGCAAGAGGAACTGACCGATGAGGAAGATGGCGTGGATGAAGAAGAAGATGTTGATAATGAAGAACTGGATGAACAAGATGATAATTTAACCGATAATGAAGATGTCGAAGAACAGGACGAGGACGAAGAGTCCGATTTTGTGGTGACGGCCCCTAACCCGATGCTGACCGCTGCCGCGGACCTGAGACCGGGCGAGGAGTACCTCACGACGATGGAGGAGCGAGTGGAGTACTTCATGCCACTCACGAGTGGCATGAAGAGTGACGCTGAAGAAGAGGAGGACGACGAGTTCGGCGTCACGGAGGAGCACGAGATGGTCGGGGGCGTCGACCTCGGTGACGAGTTGTCATGACGTCGCAGGGGCGGCGGGTGGAGGACGGCCGGCGAACCCGGCCTGTGAACCTGCAGGCGATGGTGAACCGAGAGGTTAATTTGTGGCCCGTGGCCAGTGAACCGGGAGCCATGGGCCACAATTTGACTCCTAAATGAGCCCTGGATTCAACGCCCAGCCTCAGCATGCAATATTTACTATCAGCCTCCAAGCTAACAGCGCTAGTATACGCTGAAACATCGTAAGCCACAACAATGGCCGTCTAATTAAGGATAATAACGCCGTGAGTCCGTAGTCGCAGCTTAAACATACTCAAGTTGAGCATAGTAATAACCACATCTGACCTAACCTACTCATCCTACCCCTCCTCTCCACCCTCATGCAGCCAGTGAGGTTAGGTTAGATCCGATCAGGTTTGTCTGGGTGGAGAAATGTTGCACCGTGTGTAGCTTAGGCCTGTAGAGGTTAGGCCGGAGTAGGTTAGACCAGATGCAGTATGTCCATGCCTTACTTACGCATGCTAAAGCGGTGGCTCTTGACTGCATAGGCTGCTTTGCCCTCTAACATCCTTACCACTGGCAAGGAATATGAGCGTGGCCTGGGGCTGTGTTGGTCTTCAGCGTCTCAACGAAACGCCATAACGCTGAACCCTCGAGGGCTACAGATTTTAACTTTATTTTTGTGATTATCGACCTGAGCTTCTCATCTCATTTTACTTTAAGTTAACATCATCCTTTGCTTGTCATTGTATTGTATTTTGTTCATAGTTCGAATCCTCCATCTTCTACATCCGTTTTTTTGTACCAAACTCTTAATTATAGTGAATAGATAAACAGTGTGAACAGATCAAGTGGCGGCTGATTTCTCGTCTGTGATTGGTGGGTTTAGCTTGAAACGTCGTCTGTGATTGGCTGGCGGAGTTGCAAACTGTTGACTATTTTTTATATTACTGCCCCAGGTTTTAAAATTCTAATGAATTATTGATGCATTCTAATGGAATATCAATAAATATGTTACATATGTCCATCGTTAGAAATACAATCATTGACTCATGAATTGCCTTAATTTTAAAAGTTTTTTGTCTCGTTTCTAGGCTAAGAAACTATACGATAATTAGAGCAATTAATTGTGCTGTCGATATGAAGTGATCTTCGTCACGAATCTATTTACAATTTTCAGATCTGTACATAAATTTGTATATAATTTGTTCATTTTACTTCCCTTTCAGCTTATCGTGCATTGCCATGCACTTAATTTCATTTTCTTCGTTGGTCTTCCTGAGATTTAAACCAAGTTTAAATTTAATTTAAATTTTTAATTCCTGTGATTTAAATCAAGTTTACGCTCAAGTTGCCTCGTGTAAGACCAAAATTAAAATAATTTTGACTCGACATCGAAAAATTTAATTAAGCATTCACGTGAAATTAGATTCCATTTAAGGTTGACAAGAAATCAAGTAGGCTTGAGAGATAGTATAGTATCCTCGGCGTTGAAGAATATGCCTGTCGCCGATTCTTGTACTTAACTTGACTTGTTCACAGATCTAAAAGACTGTCCTTTTGGTCAAATGTTTTCAACGGACGGTTAATAACATACTTTCTCCATCTAAATTATTGCTGGTCTGAAATTATCAGATGTTCACTGATACTAATGTTCGATATCAATGAACTCCGTATAAAATTTCTGGCACGAATTTCGGTGCAGCGCGAGGCTCTGTCCTCGGTTGATGCTCTTGCTGTACGCGTCAGTTGCTAGCCAACAACAGAGTGGTAAGCTATAACTAATCGTGTAGTCTCGGCTAACCTTCGAGAACAGACTAGAGGAAGCTATGCAGGAGCATATGTTCAGTCTTAAAATGCCTAGCAAATTACGGACCAGGCAATAAGTCCAGCAGCTATCTCAATCAATCGTCAGCTATGGAAAGATCGGGTTCCAAAGGCCGGATCCCTTGTGAATCAAGTCACGAAAAGTACAAGAATCGGCAGCAGGCTATGGGCCTATTTCTTCAGTGCCGACACTTCTATTCTATTCTAACTAATACTAGCTGCAGTCTGTAAGTTTCGAGTCCAGTCTTTAATGTTCGAGACTTCTTCAAGCTGGGAAAATTATGCGATGTTGAGAATCGGTGCCAAGTCCAACTGCCTTATGAACGCTGAAACCGCTATACTATACCATTTATTTATTGATTATTGTAACCTAATTCACACAAACCTTTGCAAAGCATGGTTGAACTAGATAAGGTTGACCTACGAGGATTTCCGTCTTTCAGTTCAACTTTATTGTTACGTCACTGAGATCGAGAAACTTAACACCAGCCATTGCGCTGCAACATCTTTGTAGCTGCCAGATTCACGCCCGTAGGTCAAGCAGCTTTGCTCGCAGTCAGTCCACTTTTCAGGAATATTCACTGTTGTTAAGATCAGCTGAATACGTAACCTTGTTTCCGTTGGTGGCTTCTGGCAAGACAATTTTTCATGTGTCGTGCAACTTTCAAGCATCATTCCAACTTTAATCATGCTGGCAAGAACTTGCTGAAACACCAGTTCCTGAGACTAAATGAAAATGTGACAATTTGCTCGTTGTATACTTTAGTACACTAAATTATATAAGACTATTAGATGAAGTTCAGCCATTGTGACCATACGGAGGATGGAAAGTGGCACAACAGAGACTGCCGTCTTAGTAACTGTAACTGTAGTCGAGTAAAAGGGGTATGAATTGGAGACTTGAATTTACTTCCTTAAATTCAGAATCAGAAACTAAAGATGGAAGTTAAGTTATATTCAATTATTCAGTAACATATTCAAGCGAGTGTTACACTCGATGTGTCCGTAGTTTTATCCGCATTTGTGGATTGTCATGGCTAGGACCGATTCAGCCGTGCAAATAGTGAAATCCACGGTTACAATTAACATTCGGAAAGTAGGGTAACCCTCATTCGCCAGTCGTATTTTTTCTTATCTTTGACTTGATGCAGTGTCTGATCTACGACTAATTGTGTTAGAATGGCAGAGAAAGAGCGAGAGAACGATTCAGATTTGAATGCTGCTGTGCCATTAACTGAATTTGTTGAAGATGGCGCTCGGCAGCCGGCTGGCAGAAGACGGTCGAGAGTAATCTTGCCTGATGTGAAGGACAAAGGGTAAGAGGTATGGTGATCTCATTTTAAGACTTTGCATGGTTTTAATGAGCCTTTAATTTTTTCTAGAATTTAACTTGGTTGTAAAATACACAATGTGTTTATTCAAACTTTTGTGTTGAAATACAATAAATTTTATCAATAATTTAGTATTAATTTTGTAGTTTTACTGTCCACATATATTTCTTATTTCATCATGATCAACGCTTTAAAGCTAAATTAGTTAACAATTTTTGTTTAACTTATCAGGTAACTAATACATAATTAATTTCATTAATTAATTACCTAATAATAGTTACTCAATTAACTCAAGTTAGATAAAATATCTATAATTAGTTGAAAATTAACAATAATCTATTAGCTATGAGGCTTGAGCATGTGACCAGAATTGGTTTTTCAGCCTTAATTATCAGTATTATATTGATTATAAATTTATAATGAATGTATCATGATACACAGATGTCAAAATAAGGCCTTTTCATCTAGATTTTGATGTCTGTGAAATTTGACACTAAGCCATCAGCTGGCATAGAATATATCTATCATTTAAGCTGACACTAGAGGCTTAGAGCCAGTAAAGATTTCTAGGATAATGCATAGAGCTTCTGTAATTTCTGGGCTGATGCAATCTCCAGACTGTGATTGATTGTGAGTTTACCCATTGTGTTGGTGATTGATTGGTGGCAGTGGGATTGTGATGTCATTCACAATTTCACGCCAGACTGTGGTTGGTTCTGGCCTTCTAGGATGGCCTTTCCAATATGCTATATGTACTTGGTGTTGAAATTATTAATTCTCATGGGTGTAGAGAGAGTGAGCAAGTGAATATCTGAAGATGACACATTAGCTTCCAAATCTGTTGTTTCAAATGATGTTGCCAGCAGATTTCTCTTTAAATGCATGTTTACTTTTATTTGGCTATTCGACATACTAAGACTTTTTGTGACACAGCAGCAAATATCCATGACCTCAAATGATTGTGACACTTGATATACCATAAGCTCCTCTTTATATCTAACACTGCACCCATGTTTTCAGGTATGCCTGGGTGATCATTGCAGTGATGTGGCTCTCCAATGTCATCACTGCAGGCTACATCAAAAGTTTTGGCATCACATACAATGCTCTCAAAGTGGCCTACCCGAGCATTTCTGGTGCTCAGGGAGGCATCATCATTGCTCTGCTGTCTGGTTTCCGCAGTGTTCTAGGTAAGAATTCAATTGTTCTTCATAAAAATGAAAAGAAGAGCAAAAATGAACCAGTTCATCTAATATAAAGATTAAAAATGGTTTCAACATATTTCTATTTTCAAAAATATCTATTTTAAAAATTTTTAGATGCTCTTTTTATTTCTGTTTCTAACTTGCTAAAGTATATCCAGAAAGCTATTATGACATTATAGAGAAAGCATCCTATTTTTCTGTTTCCTAAAAATATGAATGAAAATAAAATATTCATAAGAATATATTCATAGTTATGACTATGAAAATAAAATATTTAAGAAAATATTAATAATCCTAAATATGAATATTGTAATGATTACTTTTACTCATTTTTTATCAAGGTCATTTGACAGCATTTATGGATGGCCTCAGTCTCGTATGCTTGTATCCACAGCTCCATTGGTGGGAGCGGCAGCCGTGCAGTTTGGGTACCGGCCCGTCATGATGTTGGGCGTGACTTTCTGCTCCTCTGCTCTCTTCATGGCTTACTTCTGCTCTACTGTACCCTTGCTTTCTCTCACTTTAGGAGCCATGATGGGTCAGTAACAAACAGATTCAAGCCAGTTTAAATAAATATTTTTATTAATTAACACTTGCAGTTATATATAAATAATTTGGTATACATATTCCCCTAAACAAAGTCAGTATGCTGTCAATGTTCATATTGTAGAAGTATTGCGTCTTTCATACAAAGGTGCACATTTCACTCTTGTCCAGTATTCTTTGAAGACTGTAAGTTAAGAAATGTTTTAAACTTTGATCCCACTCAAAAGACATCATTTTTAGTGCATTTTCTCATTTATGGAAAAAAAATGCTCTATTGTGCTCGTCATTTCCGTTTGTCTGTCCGTCTGTCTGTCTGTCCGTGACTCCACGTTTTCTTAGAAAATGGGCTTTCTGTCACTCACTGCAGCACCTACTGAGTCATATTTTTTGTGCAGGTATTGGGATGTGTACCATAGAGACCAGTCAAGTGATAGTTTTGTCTGAGTATTTCAACAAGAAGAAAGAGCTTGCCAACTCCCTGCGTGTCAGCGGCAACCCTCTAGGCGGTGCTGCCTTCCCCTTCATCTTGGTGATCATCTTTGAGCACTACGGCCTGCGCTTCTCGTTCATAATATTGTCTGCATTATTAGCCCAGCTTGGGGCGTTTATTTTCCTCATTAGACCATACAAACTCCACCAGCGTATTGTGCTCGCCAGACGCAAAAACTATCCAAGACTTGACACAACTGAGGACGACAAATTCAAGACTGATATACCAGCCCAGAAAGCCAAGAAGCTTGATTTTAAGTTGTTCTTGAACCCATTGTATTGGTGTCACTTGGCCATGATTGTGGGGTTTTCAGCTAACATGCCCCATGCCCAGATATTCTTTGCCGTCTACTGCAAGTCTGTGGGGTTGTCAGACACATTAATTTCTGTGCTACTCGCCTACCAAGCAATCCTGGACAGCCTCACTCGACTCCTCATTGGCTTCCTCCTCAACAAGAAACTCTTCAAGAAAACCCACTGTTTCAGCCTCCTGTGAGTCCTGCAAGTATTAAGATCCTTTGAATACTTGAATTAACCCTAATCACCTCAGGTTATTGTGTCATGCCATAACCTTGTGGACAATGATTGCTGCCCTCCATCTTACACACGCTGTGATTTTTTTACCAGGCATTAATATAGATTGTTTCCTTTCAAATGCAGTCTTCAAATGCTCAATTGTGAACACAAAATCATTTTTAAAAGTTAGGAGAATGAAATGAACAAATTTCTGGCCTCAAGCAGTACCATTTATGTGTATAACAATTCTGATCTCTTGATATTGTGGTGATGTTACTGATGGTGAGAAGACTAAGCCATTCACGTTGCATGTGCCTAAGAGCATGTTCATCTACATCACTGGTGCATGTGCATCTTCGTCCTGGTTTCTTTCTTGAAGTTTATTTATTTCAATAATTTTTTGGTCTCATAGTCTATGAGTTCATTGCCCGCTATTGTAAAGCTGCATGAAATGAGATGCACGAGTGCTACAGAAAGCTCAAGTACCTCCCACCTCCATGGCTCATGGATCACTGATGTAGTGCGCCTGACAGGAGCAGACTTCACTGAACAAACATGTTGCAATGTCATCTAAAAATCCCGTCACTATAGTAATATGCGGAGCAGTTCAACTGATGGTAAAAGATTATATGTAGTTTGCTAAATAACCTACCTAATTATTTTAGATTAAAACAGCTGAAAAAGTAGTATTGATCCGTCACCAAGAACAGATCTCACTTGAAAAGTATATCAAGAGACAAAAGTGTGAGATTTGTGGTTATTATTTATCCTGTCTTGCTAGGCAAGTCCTGAACTTCCTCTAGGCTGCCTTGCTAGGCAAGTCCTCAACTTCCCTGCCTTGCTAGGCTTTCCTTAACTTGTCTGCCTTGCTAGGCAAGTCCTGAACTTTCCTGCCGTACTAGGCAAGTCCTCAACTTCCTTTATCCTGTCTTGCTAGGCAAGTCCTGAACTTCCTTTATCCTGCCTTGCTAGGCAAGTCCTGAACTTCCCTGCCTTGCTAGGCAAGTCCTGAACTTCCTCTAGCCTGCCTTGCAAGGCAAGTCCTACCCTGCCTTGCTAGGCAAATCCTACCCTGCCTTGCTAGGCAAATCCTACCCTGCCTTGCTAGGCAAGGCCATTTCTGTCCTTCTCTTCACGATATTCTAATATCAATAATATTCCTTCATTAAAATATTAATATTCGAATATGTAAAAAGTATATGTAGTTTATTAATGAAGTATTTCTTGTTGCAGGCTACATGGTGGACGTCACAGGCTCTTATTACCTCACCTTCATCACGATGGGCGTCGGCATGGCCTTCGGCGGCCTGTCCATCGGCCTCCAGCCACTCGTGGCCAAATTAGCCAAGATTGACGTCGAGTTTTTGTGACCGCAGTGGCCATAGACCGCAGTGGCCATAGTGGCAGTTTGGCCACAGTGGCAGTGTCGCAGTGGCAGTTTTTGTGACCGCGGTGGCCATAGACGCGGGCTACGCGCCCCCTTCTTCACGCTGAATATGTCTTCCTAGGAGAAAATGATTCTATTTTAATATAATTGAATCACGTAATATACAGCTACCTAAGACTGTTAAGTAATAAGTTGATTCTCGATAACCAGATTCAGGTAATTTTAAAATAATTTAATTCATTAAGAAGTTTTAGGTAATCAAACGCACCAATAATTATTCTTCATTTCCAAAAAAAATTCATTTTTTTATCCCGAAAACGGGACAAAATTTGCCCAAACAAATGAAATGGAAGTATTTCACTGTAGGATTAACGAGCGCAATGCTGATCACGGGGAAATTTATGGGTCTTTGTCTAAGTTCCGACTCATGTTCTCAGCTAAAGAAAAATTAATTGGCCATTGTCTAAACAGTGACACATTTTCTTACCCACAGCACGTAGCAGAGAGCGGACGTAGCACTGGTACGCTATTTTACCGGGCCAAAAATTTCTTCCAGGCCAAAAAAAATTAGTACCAAAAATTGCATCTCAATTTGGACAATGACCCTCTCATTTCCCAGAGTGTGGCCAGTAACGTACAGGGTAACATTATGGGTAACAGTTCTTAACTTAGCTCAAGTTCAGATATTATCAAGTATATATTTATTTATGTCTAGATTTATTGTGGCATATAATATTTATTATACGCTGGCCTGTGAATACTTATTGCTGAATATATATGACGATGTTATATTACTGTTGCCATAGCTACGCCTGGGGTTCCTGTTGCCATAGTTACGCCTGGGGTTCCTGTTGCCATAGCTACGCCTGGGGTTCCTGTTGCCATAGCTACGCCTGGGGTTCCTGTTGCCATAGCTACGCCTGGGGTTCCTGTTGCCATAGCTACGCCTGGGGTTCCTGTTGCCATAGCTACGCCTGGGGTTCCTGTTGCTATATCCTGGCTTAGATTACGTGATTGATCGCTTCAATACTCATCTGCCTGAAAGTTATTACTTAATTAATGCCTTGTTCACGTTAAATATCTTAGCGCTTGTAATGTATAGCTTAGTGCCTTGTTTATCTTCCGTAGACGACCAAGAAATATATTTGTTACTCGTGTTGTGTACGGTGTACCACACTTTACTTTCCTCACTGTATTGTTGATGCTCCCTGCCTCGGTTTGTACTTATAATGACTCGGCATTGTGCGCTTCACCAACTGAGTCGCGTGTTCGATCCCAGCTACCTGCGACAGTTTCTGGTCAGAATCGGCGAGGAGGCCGGGCGGTTAAGCACAGCAGTGAGTTGCGAGTTCGAGACCGCAACATGCTGTGAATGTTCTGCGATGTTAAAATCGGCGACTGGCCTACGGCCTAATAAACGCTGAAACCACTTTTATTTATCCTAGCTTCCTGGTGTTCGTGGATTTGTGTTGTGGATTTTATGAGAGAATTTTTTTTTTTCAAATTTATCTAATCTCAGAATTAAATCTAATACCATTGGACGTGTAACACCGCTAGAGATATTACTGCCATTTTGACAACACTAGTGGTAACAATAATGAACCTTCAAGACCTTATATATACAATTGTATCATGACGAGCTGTTGTCGACAACACTAATTGTAGCCTTAATGTACCTTCACAACCTCATATGTGTACAATAGCACCATGACTGGCCACAGTGTTCATTGTAATACGTCAGAGGTAGACTGCCAATACGACCCCCCCCCTCGCCCCCGCTGGTATAAGTGGCTTTCTATCGTATCTAAATTAACTCAATGACTCAAACATTCATGATAAAGTATCCGGAAAATTTGTCTTTTTATGTACTCGTGTAAAATTTACAAGACAGGTAATTCAAGTCGTATGATAAGCTACGATAAAACTTTAATCATTTCACCCATCTAGATGAACATATAACGTTTTTAGTGCATTTTTTCATTTATGGCAGTAGTTTTTAGTGCATTTTTTTCATTTAGGGAAAAAATGCACTATTGTGCTCGCCATATCTGTCCGTCCGACTGTCTGTCCGTCCGTGACTTCAAGTTTTCGTCGACGAGAAAATGCGCTCTCTGTCATTCACTGCAGTGAGTACTGAGTTATATTTTTTCATACTTTTCTGGCGGTTATAACATAAGAAACATACATAGTGATGCCGGCACTGAAGACTAGGCCTGATGTGGCCTGTCGCCGATTTTTTAACTTATCGGACTTGTTCACAGAAGATCTAAAATCATGTCACTCGACCGGGTCTTTTCAGGACTGACGATAGTTCATTTTAGTTATGTCGTTATTATGTGTTAAATATTTTTGTTATGTCGTTATTTAGTTATGTCGAACCTTACGTTGAAAAATTTGCAGTTTTAGTATAAACGATGTTTTTTGATAGAATTTCAATATTTTCCTGGTATGACTAAACATGCAAATGAACTTAATACGTGTGAACTTGATTTGTTTGTTGTTATTTAAACAGGTGCTACTGCACACTTCCGAACGTGCGGACTGCTTTGGACGTCCGCGCTGCGTACGAAGGGTGTGCGTTGCGGCTTCGTCGTTTGTTATGCAATAGTACACCGCCAGCCATGGAGGAGAGTGGACAATCTGATGCATCTGCCGACCAGCAGTCGAATTCTATGCCAATAAAAAGGTGAGGCACGTACATTCCGCTACTAACGTCTTACTGCTTTCATTTCAGCTATCTTCTGCCGGTTTCTACTAACGTAAACATTCATTTTTTTTCTCGAAATCCTTTTAGTTAAAGCAAAATAATTATGGACGAGTGTATTATTGGGTTAATTGTGCTTAATCTTGCCATGGTAGAGATAGAATATGTATAAGTAATGCATGATAGATGGAATTTCCCATTGTTTGTGCCGCGTGTGTCCCAGTAATCTGCAAGTCATGTCTCCTCTTGTTGTAGATGATTTGCACTGTGTGACTGTGGCTGTGCCATTGTCATTTGTCAACTTGACACTTGCCAAGAAGAAGACTTAAAGGCTTAAGCTCATAATAAATTCTTGAGTAAGTTGAGTTATATGGCAAAAATATATGTATAAGGTATAATTTGTTTACTCATAAATTTGAATAAATTGTTAGTTTTCAATTCAAAACACTTCTTGTAATGATTACTGAATTGTACAATCAACAAGTTATGTTGTGTATAAATGTGTAATGTTACAAAATGATAATATACAGAAAATAATTTCTACAAAGTTTATTATTGCAAACCCTGAAACCCAACAAGCTAATTGAGCAAAAGCCATCATCAAATGGCAAAATGCCAAAATTATGCTTTTCATGTTCATATAGCGGTGTTCAACCAACTTACCGCTATAAATTCAACCAACTTACCGCCACTCTGGGGTCACCAATTTATAGTGGTATGTTGGTTGAACACCGCTATAAGCTAAGTCAAACGATGAGGGATTAAGAAGAAAACTTATCTAGAGAGACGCGTGTTAGGAGAGTGTATTTAAGTGTATGTATCCGTGAGTTGCACCTGTGGAATGAATACTATACATATAGAATACAATACATATCAAGATGAATACATATTAACAATACACATTAAGATGAAGTCAATATTAGGTACATGGTAGCAGGGAATTATTGTGAGTACTTATCGGTCCACCGCCGTGTGTCGGTCTTAACCCTTCGCAAGGCCCCATGCCCTTGGCCCTTGGGCCCCTCTTGAGCCAGTGTAGCTGTCAGCTCACCTTCTTCAGAAGTGTGAAAGCTTTTGCCGGTGAAGGTGTGTTTTACGATCGGTCCATAAAGAAGTGTTGATCGGTTCAAAATGACATAAGAACAGGTTCTTTTGAATAACCTATGGATTGGCACCATGATTAGGTACAATCAATATACAAGGAAATATTACAAGTTTGAGGAACAATCTAGGAGCTCTTTAAGAGCTTACCCCAAACGTTGGAGGACAAGGCAGTAGTGCGGTTACAATTAACTGAACTTACCAAGAAAGAAAAAGTCAATTTAGAAGTAGTTTGGATGTTTACGTAAGGATTGATTTTATTGGAAAATATGAAGATTTAAATACTTACAACTAAGATTAGCATTGGATGTCCCTACATTCATACATGTGTGGAGTTTGGATAATATTTAGCTTTTTAGTTACAACTAAATCTAGAGTTGAATAATTTCTACTTAATACTGAAATTTTCAGCTGCAAAGTAAGTATTTCTTCTAATAAATTTGAAATGTTACAGCTATGTCACACATTTTTAGATTGGGCTACAATTATATCAGAGTTAAATCTCAGTTAATTCATCTAGCAAAAACCTCATGGCTTTAAAAAAATGGTAGGACAACTCCAGTCATGGCTTGCAAGTTGCTAAGTAAATTTATTCTGTGCATTAATAAATCTTTTGTCAGTTTTGCAGCTGCAAGACTATTTTTTAGATGCAATCAAGAATATTGAACAGAATTTTTCATAAATGTTGATAATTTATTTGTAGATAAATATTTGATCTTAAAAACAACAGGCATAAATGTCCCATTTTTACTCATTTATACTAAATAAATATTTCAAGGGCTGTGGGAATAGCTGAAAATTACTGCAAGCATAGGCATTTTTGTCTCATCCACATGTCCCAGAGGTGGTTTATGCCCAATTCTCCAGTGTGGCCCTTGATAAATGATCTTCTAACTAATTGTTTACAGAACTGCACAGTTGGGCCATAAAATTTAAAATTCACCCAATTATGTTATACTAGAGCCTGTATATTTTAGGAAAAAGTTTTATTTTCAAACTTTACTTCAAGGGCTAAATTTTTATTTTCACTCTGAATTTCATCCATATGATTAATGTCTGCCTGTTTCTAAGTGGATCCTACAGAAGTATGTAGTAATGTAACTTATAAAATACCATTGTATTTCATATTGTAATGAAAAATTGAAAAAGAATAGATCTGCATTAAATTAGGAATATAT